CGGAACGGCAGACAGCGTTGGCAGCAGCAGTGGCAGTGCGGCGGCACGGGGCAAAAGGAATCGAGGTTTCGGAGATGCCGGGTTGACGGCAACGAAACATTACGACTGGCCCTCTTGGAGGGAGAAATAAAGAATCATGGCTTTGAGAAGAGGCGGAATGACATGTAGCATGGCGATACCGATGCGCTCGTGGTTGATGGTACGTACCTGCGTGTGGATGGTAGGCTCGCTCGCTCCGGCTCAGCTTGCCCTGTCTACTGTGCTGCGATGGACATCCGAACGGCGATCTGCAGTGATTTTCTGCCAGGTACAGCGTGGGATTATGGCTCAGCTCATGTACGTACATAGACCATATATTATTTCCTTTGTTCAAACCACATCATACCAGCAAACAAGTCTTACCATGCGCCTTCAAGTCGCACACGTCATCCCCGTGCATCGCAACACAGAAACGACGCCGGCGCATTGCTTCTCTCATTGCGGGGACCAGAGTATAGTCCAATTTCAGAAAGCCGCAGTTGCTATCCGAGAGGGGGGAAGTACAACGACACGAAGGCGGAGAGAAGCCCGTTGTTGGACGCCTCGAAACTGTATACTTTCGGACATGTAATTCATGCGCAGCCCGTAACGGGGCATTTCGATACTACGAAATAGTACGAATTCAACCGCTTTCCCATTACCCCACGCTTTCTCACTACTGCTGCCCCTCTCTCCGTACTAACGTTACCCCTCGATATTTCCCCAGCGCTCTTTGGTGTCGCATTACCTGCGCTACCCCCTCCAATCTCCGTGCGTGCATCTCCATCTTTTCGCTCCTCGGACAGGTACTTGACTATTATAGTACGATGGTGAAGAGGCAGCAAGTAAGCTGAGCCGAACAAGCCAAGACGAACAAAAGGGTACTACTGTAGCATGAAAGCCAGCCCCATCATCATCAGCGCTAGCAAGTACTCGCGGATTTCGAAGTAACAAGTTTCCCGACGCTATGGGATCCAATTGCGCAGCAGAACGTGACTCGAGATCTTCACTCCGCCGTCGCATTTCGGGTATAGCCAGTCTCTATTAACGTGGTTTATCAGTTCCCTTCCCTGGGATATAGGTAACCTTAACAAATCTCGTTCGGAATTACCGACAGCCTGTCGCTATTGTCGCAAAGGCCATGCCTATTGTTAGCAACCCAAGTATCGCAGCAACCAGCGCACGGGTTTAAGAAAGTACCAAGACGAGATGACGCGCAAGCACGACGCCAGACGCGTTGCGGCGGTTTGGTGTGGTGACTATGTCGGATACGCAGGAACCGCTCGTCTCGTCACACCTCCACGAAAAGAACGCCTCTCGGGCGCTTGCACTTGCACTACAAGTTGCAAGTTCCCCCCGTTACTCAAGCCGGGCGTAATGCCTAATGCGGCCATCGGCTATTATCTACAAAGACGGTTGCGCTGGGCGCGCGGCTTAGAGCTTGAGTTTGTCTGACAGACGCTCGACGGTTATGTCTTGCATGTGATAAATCTGGGGAAACAATCTTTGTACGTAACAACCACAACTAGTTTTTGCGGAGTAGCATAGCCGGTAGTTTGTGGAGAGAAGCGCTTTATCTGCTGCTTGTCTCCACTGGATACGGTGCTGGAGGCTCCGTGATGGGGTGCGCATGGCCTTGCGTTGGGCTGCGTGCGAAGGGTAGCGGGCGTGAGGCGCACGATGGTGGTGATCGCGGGGCGGGCCACTGCACTCGATCACCAAAGGGCCGAAACGGCTGGTGAGATGTGTAGTGGATGTGTGTGCTTCGGGTGCGCATTGCTGAGTGTAGCCATGGAGAGCCGGAGCAGAGTGATTGGTCTGAGATGTTTGGAATGGTGACGTTGTGGCTGAGGGAAAAAGCAGATATCGTGAAGGCGCGATAGAGGCTCTTGACATGGTTTCTTAAGCCGCGACTTCCGTTTCGCTGCCGACTTGAGCAACACGTACGCGTTCTGTATTCTGGTTACATCGGTGGTGCAGTAGTTTCTTGGTAATAACGTTCATCCTGAAACATATGTGTAAAGAAGAGTCCCAAAAGCTACAAGAACAAAACATGTGCTGTTGCGCGTCGTGAAAGCCGGAGCTTCCGACTGTCACGCCCATCCCGCCTTCACCATGATTGCTCATCGGGTCTGACGCCCGCTCAACCCCTCGGACACGCACGTCACTCGGAGAATGAAGCCTCACAGACCCTAATGGCGATAGCTGCGCACCGGCTCCTGGGCACAACGACCATCGTGAATCTCTACCGTCGTCCAACGGCCATAACGTCATGGTAGATACGCCAACGAGCACAGACCTGCCTGCTCAAGGTGTAATGCCGTCTTTCCAGAGCACGAAAACCTCGATTGTCAGTAGATCGCAACGATTCCTGCTCTTAATTGTCGTCGAATCTCTTATGATGATCGTCTTGGTATTCTTCACCATCGTCCTGTACAACCACATTCTGTCAGCCTCCTACATCATAGCACCTGTCATCGAGATTCAAGACTGCCGGACCGCATAGCCTATGCACTCTCCACTGCAACCGTGCATCAGGATGCCGAAAGGATCCTCAGAACTTCTCTGTGCGTATCTTGCACGGACACCGAGGCGCTTGATGATTTTTTCTCTCTGAAGCTCAGGCCCCTCGCGTAGATATTCACAAGCTCGGCCTTTCTCCATTTTCTCCATGTCCAGCACAGGACAGTCTTCGTGTTCTTATCGCATGTGGATCCTGTAGGTCTGAGCGCAACGACACCGCGTCATATACGACATGTTTTCAAGTTCGTTGGTGATAAGGCAATAAGTTGAAGATGGCAATGCGAATTTAGAAGCCGCGGATACACAGTGTGTAGTGCCGAAGATCATGTCTCGACGCGAGTTTGTTCAGACGGCTCGGTTATTCCACAACGGCTATGATCTACTGACACGAACCGTTCAGACGTTCTTCCTCGGGAAACAATCGTCTTTCCTTGCGGCGCCTTAACCGCCAAAAACATCATTCGCTCATTGCGATTCAACAAACAAGCACGCCACACCGCCTGCTGCTGACCAAACATCCAGAAACAGATTCTCCACCTGGTCCCTCAATTCCAGCCACGGCGGTACGGCCTCAAGACGGGCCACCGGTGCAATGCTATTCCGCACGGCAGCCGAGCAAAACATCCAACTCCCCTGCCCACGCTCAGCCACGACTTGGGATAGGCTACCGGCCCCTCGTAACTATCACTCGACCCATGATATATCACATCGTCAATGCAAAAATAAATCCACTAGCGCACCGAATGTTCGATTCAAGAGTCCATGGACATGGTACGGGCATGGACCTCAATCTGTGCAAGGCTGTGCAGATAGACCTGCAGATATGTAGCCGCGGGAAGTTAACCGATTGCGGATAGCAACCAGGTGACTGGGGGTTGATTGGCAGCAGGGCAAGAGAGAGACAATAGACACGGCCTAGATTCGAGTCATGGCTGTTCATCGTTGATCGACGGACACTAGAAGGGGGGGTCTTCTAGATCCCAGCTGGCATCTGGTGTTGACAAACCAAGCGACGCTCTAGGGGAAATCAGTTTGTAAATCGACCGACCCAGTTGCGCAGTACCATTGGTGGGAATTCAACAGACCAGAGATCGTACGTTGGAACTTTATCGTAGTGGAGCGAAGGAGGGAAATGGATACACACGTCGGATCAAAGAACCCATACATCTCAACGGCTTCTCGAAATATCCACAGATAACGGTCTTGGTAGACCCTTTCTTTCTCTCAACTACAACGCATGAATGACCCATCCCACACTTCCAAGGTTTCCAATACGCGACTCGTACCTGAAACCAAGACACACCACGATCAACCCCCCCACCACCATACCCCTCAAAGTAACTATCCAGACTATCCTCTAGAGTTCGCACTAACAGCTTTCCCTCTTACCCTTTTCCAGTCCATGTCCTCCGACGTGGTCCTGCATCAATCTGCAGCTCCCCTCTCCACGCCAGCAGCAACAGCTAGCCTAGAACCAGTGATCCTCTTCACAACACATCCATGCATGACACCATGCATGTGAAGCTATCGATTAAGCTATCGACGCATCTCATGCACCGTGCTGTGATTGTGCCTGCTTCCCCTACCACACCCTCTCTCTCTCTCTGCCTGGTCTGTCTCTCTCCCGCAAAACAACAAGTGCTGACATGTTTGCTCGCTTCGGATGCGTCGTTTAACCCCCATCCGGCCGTGGGATATGCAATGGAAGGTGCTAAGAAGATATGCGGAATGCCTCGGCAACCGTCGGTTGGTGCGGCACAGCAACGGGCCGTGCTTCGATAACCGCTTCGAGAACACCTGAGCCGCTGCTACACAACATGTTTACTATCTTCCCTATTGGAATGGGCTATGTGTGGTGTGGTGAGAGGGGTATCACGACGTGGAGGTGGCTGGCTGGGCTGTGCACCTATCTGCTTCCCTTTCCTTTTTCCCCCTCTGCCCCCTCTAGCGAATGTCAAGGTCCACATAGTGCATGTTTATGCGTTCGTGTCTTCCCCCCAACGAACGCATGTTCGTATGTACAGTCTATGCGTTCCGGCCACTCCAGCTAGGTTGGGAAGGTGAATAGATAGGTAAGCGCGAGAAACACGACATATACCATTGGCTCCTACGTCAATAATGTGGGGAAGGGCGCATTGAAGACTGAATTAGAGCAAAGTAGGCACAGAGAGCAACGACAAGTGGTTTCGGAGAACGAAAGAGGGGGACAAGGCCGGGAAGGAAGGGGCGCGGGACAACGGCCTGAAGCGGGAAGGGAAGGATCTAGCAGGCTTCGGAGGTTTGTTTCCTCTAGCACAAGCACACTTTGACACACCCTCGTACAACCGAGATGATGTGAATTATGCTTTCGATGTCGCTATTTCGTGTTTGAAGGACCGAATTTCGCGTATTCATACATTGGATTGACATTATTACTAGCTGCCTTGGGGCTACCGATGATACTGGTTGTACACACTTGTCTACATGCTCATTTCATCCGCTTCTTCCTTGTAGCTTACTTGGGCCGTGGCCCTGCCAGACTTCTTCCGTGTTGCGGCAGGTCGTGCATTTCGCTTCTGCACAGCAGGAGCCTCGTCCTCGGTCCCTTCGCTAAGCGGGGGTGAGCTAAGTTGATCATCCTCTTCGTCTGACGCCGAAGGTGTTGGCACGGACTTTGCTGCTGCCTTCTTCTTAGTCGATGAAGCTGCTGCTCGCTTAGCTGGTGCGGCCTTCTTGGCTGGTGTCTTGATGGGCGTCTTGACATCCTCGAGTGGAGCGGCTTCACTTGCTATGGAGGCCGCGTCAGCGGCGGTCTTGCGCTTCTTCTTCGCTGGCGTAGCGGCGCCGTCTTCTTTCTTCTTGATGATCCGTTTTGGGGGTCTGAGCCAGTCCTCCATTCCTGGTGGCCAGTACACTCTTCCCTCTGGTCCTCCCATGCCTACTTCCTCGTCAGGTACAATGGGTGGGGGTACGTCTTCTGGCTCTTCCTCTTCAATCTTCGCATCCAGCTCATCGAGCTCGTCGGTCTTCTTCTTCTTGCTCTTCTTGACAGCCTTCTTGGGCTTGGGCTTCCAGGGCTTGTTCTCATCCTGGCGCGTATGTGGCAGAATGTCGTTGAAAGTTTCGAAGCCTGGCAGCTTGAAAGTTCGCATGAGCTCAAATACAGCCTGCTCCTTGTCCTTTGCCTCGATCATCAAGTCCATCGTGTCAGGGCAGGGAGGAAATGTCATGACGCGGGGTGAATGCTTTCTCCGCTTCGTGCGAGTAATCGCAGGAGGTGTTTGCTCAGAGTAATGCATCTTGGGCGTGATCCCTTTCTTCTCCCATGTTGCAAGAATACGGGGATAGTAATCCATGACATCCTTGGTACCTTCACGGATTTGAGTCTCGTCAAAGAGGATGTTGTGATGGTGGTAGTCGAGCACGAATGGGATGTTAAGCTCTTCACATAGAGGCAACAACTCATGCATATTCCATACAACGTCGTCGTTCTCAAGCACCAAACGGTTCTTGACTCCTTGAGGAAGCCTTGCATAGTTCTCCTTGAACCTCTCAATGGCCGCTGGCTTGTCGCCATATGCCCCACCGAGATGTAGGATCATGACAGCATCCCGATCTTGCTGCTCTGGAAGCTTCAGAAGAGAAAGCATCTCAGCATGATACTCCAGATCACGCATAGCGTTGTCAATGACCTGTTTTCGCGGAGAGCCCAATTGTGTGAACTGGCCCGGATGAGTAGTCACTCGATGACCCAGCTCACCGATCACTTTGCCTGCTTCACGCAACGTCTCGGCAGCGAAGGGCTCAAGCTTGTAGCCATACTCGTCATGGCTTGCAAACGGGAATATCTCGCTACTCAAGCGCATGAACTTGATGCCGTACCTGTCGTTCCAGCGCACCATCTTGATGATATCCCGCGCATTAGCGAGGCCAATCTCTTCGACGTATTTCATGCCCCGCGCGACATCCGCTGGTTGTTCCTTATCGGGGCGATTCTTAGTGGCATGTTCGGGCTGGGAGGGGTCCTTCAGGGGATGGCAATGTTCGATGATGCTCGCGATGCGGCAGGTTCTGGAGCTGAAGACGGGAGGGGTAGCACTGCGGAGGTATGTATTGAGACAGGCCTGTATGCACATTCGTTAGTTTAGATTAAAAGGTACCTGCAGGACACATACATAGCCAAGTCGTCCTTTCCACGGAAGAGGAAGGTATTCAGAGTTGACCGGTGGGGGTCTCGACAGGGCTTCCTGGACCTCTGCCTCGTCTTCGTCCTCAGCCTCGAGGTTATCGACATCGTCGGGATCTGCCGCTACCCCAGTGCTGGCTGCAGGTGCAGTGACATTTCCAGCTACGCCATTCACGGCGCCGTTGTTGGTGTCTTCCTCTTCCACTTTGATTTGCTGGGCGCCGGCCTTCTTTCGCTTGTTCTTTGCAGCATTCGCTGCAGGGGCGGCGCCATTCGCTACGGGCCCATCGCCGTTTGTGGCAGGTGCTGAGGGCGCCTTCTTCTTCGCAGGCGCACCTGATGCAGTATTCGCCTCATTCGCAGTACCGTTGCTGACGGCAGATTCCAGCACAGCATCATGCGCGGCGCTTTCGTGTCCGTCAGGCGATGCGCGTAATGCAGTGACTCCATCGAGGATGTCAGGGTTGAGATTAGGGTCGGTCTTTTCAGCCTTTCCCCCACGCGTCGTTTGGCGACGAGGAGGCTTCGCGACGTTTGACGGCAAAGGCACGTCTGTTCGGCGCATCTGTGATCGGTCCATTGGGGGCGCCTCTTCGGTCGTAGGCACCGTAGCTGCTACAGCAGATCTCTTCCGCTTAGGGGGCATGGTTGGAAGATAGGAGATCACGCGCGATCTCTGTAAAGTTGCCGTCGCTCGGAGTGGTGGATGGAATGCGACACGAGAGCAGATGCTGTAAAGGGAAGGTAGCATGTGTCCGGACTCAGGTGATGCCGCTGCAGAGGAACAGCAAGTTTATTGAAAGGAGGCTGAAACCCGCGAACCGTGCTTCTATTGCCATGTTGGGTGGCTAACGCGTCGAGCTCGCGACTACGTCATTACATTGAGGTTTGATAGTATGACGCTGGTGTTGTCTGAGATCGGCTCTGACCCGATCGGCTACGATTAGCGAACCCGCCCGATCTCATGCCAGATCCCACCTTTCGCATTCTACAATCCCATCACGAGCACAATTGCATTCGTCTGGTCTCATCAAGGAGGCTATCGCTACATCTCTCGCTCTCCAACGCGCCATCGCAATGATGAGGCTTGGCCACGCCCGTGGCCGGACGGCATGCTGCTTGCGTATGCATAATGTATTTGCACAATCGTCATTTGTGCAAAGATCCACTGAAACACACGGTCCACTGATGGCCTGAATATATCGCGATCTAAGGGGTACGATCGTCATCAGCCCATTTATATCAATCTTTCACGATAGTATCTGAAAGCACCAGCTTGGTAGCAGTGACTTTTCACGAAAAGCGCGAGAAACCGATCACCTCGTTACGATACCGCCAGATTATCCCAAGGAACGGAGCAGCACAGCCGACTCTAGAAATATTCCCACCTGGTCTTGATCACTATTTGTTCTGCATCCTCGTACATATATAAAACTAGGTGATAATACCATGCATGTCAACCTAACAGTAGAGTGACTCCATATGCACCACCAAACCAAACCATTGCATGAACAACCAGGCCATCTTCAACGACCTTTTAATTTCTTCAAATCACAATACCAAGTTCACACCTCCATCGTAACACTAAACACTACTTGCTCGTCAGACCTCTTCAGCCTCCTACTCCCACACGACAAACCAAGACACAGCAACACCCAAAACATCAGAGCATCCTTCGAATCCCCATCCCCATCGCCTGCTCTCCAAACTCAGCACTACAGCACCTCCCACGGTACCTACACGAATTTCTATTCTCTCCACTCCGCTCTCTACCTTCCCGTCTACCTCCTACCCCTCTCGGGCTTCCTTATCTTCATCCTGACTCTTACCCTCACCCCTCTACCACTTCACCACAGCTCCTCACCCCTCCCCGTCTACCTTTCACCAACCCCTTCCACTCCCTCCCCTTTATCCCTTTACCCCCTCAACCACCCCGGCATTCCCTTTCCATTAATCCACATCAGCAACACCATGTGCAGGAAGAACAGGACGCATACTGCTATCCACAGCCAGATGAATCCTTTGAACACCATTATCGTCTTCGCAGGCGTTGTAGATAGGGTACGATAGTTGGGTATCTAGGTTATTTCATTCGACTGCGGAGAAAGATGGCTCCACGCGCGTGTTCGTTTTCGTGGACGCTTTTCCAAAGTTTTCTTGTGTGGTGGTGTGGTGGTGATGTGGTGCTGATGTGGTTTACGGTGTGCCTTGGTTAGAGGTTGATGGCGTTCAGACTTGTAGGTGATTATTTGTGCAGTTGCTGTTGAGACACGTAGGTGGGTTGAAGCACAAGAGTGTTGCAGCGGGATTACAATCTTTTCAGGTTTCTAAAGAACGAATTCACATACTTTGGTTCAAAGTTTCGCATATTTTCACTCTGTACCAAGCGTTACAATTGACACATGATTGGGTCCGTATGGCCTTGTTCACTCCGGCACATAATTTGAGATTGATAGCGTATCCGACTTTGGTGGTGTTGTCTTTGTGCAAGCTTTGGAACGGAGCAGCTACATGAGACGTACTTTACAGGAAAACATATATCGCGTAAGCAAAGAAGGCATATCCATTATGCATCTACACCCAACACGCATCACTCATCCACAAACTACGCCTCATCACCATGACCATAACCATCACGCGCCCACACACACAAATCATGCAGCTATCTTTATTCTCTAAGCAATGCATAGCGCTAAAGACATTCCTTCGAAACTATCTCTATTCCAACTAATCCCCATCTACCCCCCTTCCAACCCTTTACTTATACACCTTGTACACGTAGACCTTGTCCACGTAGACATACCCTTCATCAGCAACATCGACCGGCGCGGAAGAAGCCGTAGCCTTAACAGCAGAAGCAGGCGCCTCCTAAGCAGTCGACTTGCTAAACTGAATCAACCGCTTAACACCAACCTACACAACCAAAAATTAGCACTCCATCCTCATCAAACCACAGAGTACAAATGCTCATATTTCACTTACCATCCAATTACTCCCCTCATCCGTCTTATTCGTCATGAGATCCGAGAAAATCGCAACCGCAGCATCATACTGCTTAGCCTGAATCTGGGCCGCGAGTTCATTCATCTGCTGGATAGTATCAGGCTTGAGCAGGTCCTCGTTGTTGAGATGGTCAAAGAGGATATTGAGCCGCTTCTCCGTGTCGGCAACGTGCTGTTTGTATTGAGCTGGTGCTTTCGCTTTCACGCGTTGGAGGTCTGCGTCGAGGATCTCGTAGATGGGGCGCGAGGCGTCGGGGATGTGGGATCGGTCGCCGGGAGCTGGGTTCAGGGGTTAGATTGAGATGATTCTTGTGTGTGGTTTGGGGAGCACTTACGGTACTTGGGCGCTGCTTGCGCTGCTGCTTGCGATTGGCCGGTTCCAGGTCGGGAATCGGGCCTTGGTGGTCCGCCCTGAGGACCGCCTGGAGGACCGCCTGGAGGAGGTCCTGCACGCGGAGGTCCTTGAGGTGGGCCCCTTGGTGGCGGTGCTGCTGCTGCAGGTGGCATCTGCTGCACAGGCGACGGTGCGTATGCTGATCCTACGGGTGTGAACTGGCCAGGAGGAGGCGCAATGTTCCGTGGCGGTGGCATTCCGCCCATCGGTCCAGGGGGAGCCGATGGTTGTGAACCAGGAGCAGGAGCGTAGCGGTTCGATGGCGGAGCGGCAGCAGTCGGTGGTTGGTATGGCGATGCTCCACGCTGTACTGGTGCCTGCTGTGGAGGTGCGAAGCCAGCAGGCGGAGCAGCATAGTTGTTTGACGCTGGTGCTGGCGCGTATGGGTTCGGAGCACCAGTTGGGGGTCCAGACGGAGGAGAAGTCATCCGGGGAGGGCCTTGAGGAGGACCCTTTGGAGGAGGTGGAGGTGTCGACCTTGCTCCTGGGGAGAATGGACCTTGAGGTGGACCTGCGAGGGGCTGCTGCTGGTTCGGGAACGGAGAAGCTACAGTGTTCATAGGAGTGCCACGACGCGAAGCTGGCTTGGGTGGACCGAAGTCTGGTGTGTCGTTCCAGGCAGGAATACTGCCTCTGTTGGCTGCTGGCACGATTGATGGCGAGTTTGAGAAGTTGCGTGGCGGGGGTGCGATTCCTTGTTGGGGCGCTGCGTTGTAACCATAACCCTGAGGCTGAGATGGCTGGTAGCCAACCGGTGTGTACGAGTTGCCGGGTGCTGCTGCCGGTGTGAACGTTGATGGTCCAGTGGGCTGAGCTTGCGAGGATAGGGGGTTGACTGGAGCATAAGGTGACGCTCTTGGTTGCGTTTGCATAGGGTTGACCGGAGCGTAGGGCGTCTGCTGGGGCGGTGCCGGTGTTGCTTGTGCAGGCTGTCCATACGACGGGACCACAACTTGACGACGACCAGCAGTGGTTGATTGGGCTTGCTTTTGTGCTGCCGCTGGCTGAGCTGCAACCTTCCTTGTGGCTTGCTTGACCCGGTTCCTGGCAACATCTGCAGCTGGGTACTTTTGAGGCAGGAGATCCAGATATTTCTCCGCAATTGCAAGCTGACCGTGGGCAGATGCGATGTCAGCGTATTCAACGTACTTTGCGTACAAAGGCTCGAGTTTCCAGTCGTCCTCCTTTTGCTGTTCGGCATCCTTGAAGTTGGTGACCTTTCGGAATACAGTGACTTTCTCGATGAACTCCTGTAAAGATCGTGCGTGGATAGAGAAACTGTTGTCGCCGTCGGTCTGCTCAATGCCCGCCTTCTCACTCTCCTGAAGCTCCTGTGCCCAGTTGACAACGACCTTCTCAAGCTTGGAACCAGCCAAGTAACAGAAAGACGCATCTTTTCGGTACGTTCCTTCCTCTTCAGAGATGGCTTCTTCGAGTCGGTCTCCCAGGGCCTCGCAAAGGTCGGGGAAGTCGGCCTGGTCGGCAAATGTGCAGATCGTGGCCATGACTTCTTTCCAGTCCTTGAGGTCGGCATTGTACACGAAGTCCCATAGATTCTTTCCGACCACTGACGCAAGCAAGCGCAGGTAGTTGGGTGCGTCGGACTGTCTCTTGAAGTATGCAGCCTGTGCCTTGGCGATACACTTCTCTCCACCGCAGATGGCAATCATGAAAGCATCTGATAGTCGGTTCTCCTTCAGGCACACGTCCAACGCCGCGTTGAAGTCACCAAGCATGAGGTTGCGAGTGATCTTGGTGTCGGCTTCCGACTCGGAACCGGTGTAGATCTGGAAGGGGTTGTTGGTCTTCGCGCCCTTGGAAGCCGCGAGATCGGACAAGAAGTTGCCCTCGTCTGTCGCATTGTCGAAGAACGAGGACCCCTCATCCGCATCGCCGTTTGTCTTCTCCTCCTGCTTCTCTTCTTCTGGCTCTTCATCCTTGTCGGAGAAGCCCAGGTACTCGACAAGCTTGCTTCGCGGGTTCTCCGACGTGAGAGTCTCAATTACGGTCCAGTCGGCCTTCTCTTCCTCATTGGCTGCCTTGGCAATCTTCGACTCGCAGATTGCGGTAATGTCGCCCTTATCTAGAGCCTTGTCGAACTCTTCGCTTGCCGCGCTAACGTCCGAGTCTACAGCAAATGTGGAGATAGAAATCTTGGATTTGTTATCGACGATGCCGAATCGCACCAGCTTTCCACCAAAGCCAAAAGCCACACCTGCTCTCCTCTTCAGCCACTTCGGGGGTGTCTTC